ATTATGCACATCAAACAACTTTTGTTTGCTGGTGATATCTCAATAATTTTTACGACTTTTGTAAATATATATCTTCTATTATAACTGTAGGAATTATTATTGATTTTAATTATTGTAATGGTGTAAATAGGCTTGAAATTGGGTCAACATTTTTCATGAGAAGTCTATGACCTATTTCGTATCGTATGTGTAGGGTTGGAAAAATCGATTTAAGTTAAGTCATTCGTTGAACAAACTAAGAATCTTTGAAAAACGGGCTAGTTAAAAGATCAATGATTTAGGTTATGTGAAAACCGTTCAAGTCTATTAAACAACGTTTATTTAAATAATGACAGTGTTATTGTTATTTTTTATTGTATAAGATAGACCTTAAAAAAATAACTATATCAGATAAATTAATTTGACTAACGTTTAATATTGAAATTTGTAAATGTCAGTTAAGCATAACTATTCTCTACTATTGTTACACATCTGGCAAGCACAAATTATTTTGGCTCAGAAAATGATAATCTGATACAATGTCCAAAGATAGATTATGCTTTATGAGTAATGTAAGTACAAAGTGTAGTTGGTATGGCTCAAAAAAACAAAAATAGAAAAGGAAGCTGCAGTTATCGCGTAATGAACAATGTTTAATGCTTTTCTCCGCCAAATGCCCAATATCCAGAAATAATAATTGACATCCCTGCTGCAACATCAAATGAATCAAAAGAGTGAAAGACACGTAAAGTTAAACTTTTTGCCGAGATTCAGTGACTTGATAGTTATGACCTTTTAAGTTTTAAGATATTAACTTTGTTCAAATCTTCTATAAAAGTGGGTAAGAGTAATCAGTATAACACAAATAAAAAGAATCCAGACACCGAAAAAGTAGACTTATCAGTCAAACGTAGTGAAAATTATGGATGAAGAGCGCATAGGTTGGATTACAAGAAGCTAATAATAGAGATTGCGAACTTAACTGCCTCTATCCATCAGTAATGTTAGATATCTGCAAAAGTTTTTGTTGGTTGAGTTGAGGGTAGCTTCACTTAGAAGTTAGGGTAGACATTGAGCTTCTCTGTCTCAGATATTCAAAATCAGAGTCTTTCATATCTCCATTAGCCAGAGATACAAAAGGACGAACATTTAACAAAAAGAAGAGATAATCATAAGAAAACAAATCATTGGCCTCCGAGGTGGCATTGTTTACTACATTTATATTTAGTGATCACGAAACTTTGCCTACAGAGTTAGTACATTGGTTATTTCTTTGGGTAGGTTTTGTTAATCGGTAGTAGAATGTAGTAGACATATAACGTTAATCTTTCATGGTGTTCTGGTCTTGGAATTGGGTAAGTGTGTGGAAGTTGAAGATGAGTGTAAGATGTAGCAGAGAATGGGATTTTATATATTAAGAAAATATCCACTTGTGTTGTGTGGGGGTGGTGAGTTGGTGGCAACAGAACATTAATGAGAAGAATCGTTAGGTTTTCTTGGGAAGGCCTCCATAATGTGATACCAAAGTTTTGTCTGGTTCTTTCAGTATCTGGACCCGTTCTCTTTCTTCTAATCCTTCTAATCTTTGCTCATAATAATCTTTCTTTTGGATCATATGAAGTTTGATGTAAAATAGGATCCACTCCTGTTTCTGGGTATTAGACTTAACACAACAACAAGAAATAATTAATGATGTCTTTTCCACATTCTTAAGGAAAGATCCATCAAATAGACTTGTTAGGAATATTTTGTTTTGATTGAAGTGGTCCATGACTATGACACGTTTGAATATTGGTTGTCTCTGTTTAAAAAGAGACACAGCTATTGGATCACATAACACAAACTTTTAGCTAACTCATTGACTCGTCACTCACTGCAGAAACTTGGGGGTCTTCAAAGCATAAACAGACAACAAATGGAAGAGAAAAGGAAAAATACAAAGAGAATCACGGGAAATTGACGAACACTGAACCATCATACTATCACAGTTCAGAGTCGGGATGAAGTCAGGGTGAACTACTGACCTGTTGGACCCGCCTTTTCATATCAGCTTCAAAGGCATATGAATTATGATATCTTGGGTATACTCTAAAATCCAAACAGAAATCAGATGAAACATAATGGTAAATAATTCGTAAATATACACTTGAGGTTTCTCCCTGCACCACAGATTTCTTATTGCACCTCCCCAATTTTTTTTTCAAAAATATTCTTAGGTAAAAGTTTGGTTACTTTTACCATTTCTTTGTATTTTTATTTAAAACCCTAAATTCTTACCCATTTCACTCACCCTGTGTCGCACACCCCACCCCACCCCCACAATCTCATTTCTCAGTTTCTCTCTTCTACCATTTGCTCTCCTCTTCTTTCATTTCCGTTTTCTCTCTTCCCCTTCCATTTCCGTTTTCTCTCTTCTTCCATTTATAATGCTTCCATTGAGTTAAGTGCTTGGTTCGTTTGCTGTGGAGGAGTGTGCTTGCTTGGTTTGCGGTTGGTTTGCGGTTGGTTTGGTCTCTTGACACTTTGATCCATGTTAGTTTTCTCTCCGGTTTGATATAGTTAATGCAATTGATGTTGATTTGTATGTTTGTTTGCATGTTAGTTAGTTTGGTTTGTATGTATATTTAGGTCTGTAAACATACTGGTTAATATGTGTGGTGGTTAATGTTTGTTGTGAGCTTCAACATATATCCTTAAACGTTATTCCCACGAAAGTTTATATTAAATACAATATTAAATGTGTTTAACAATCCAAAAAAAGTCGCTAACAATCTTTGATTTCTTCACACACCTATTCCAATTATTTGTTTCGATCCAATATCATCATTAGTTAATGATCGTTTATACGAATGTTTTACGTTTTACAGTGTAGATTTGTTAAATTGTTGTAACATATCATTTTTTTTTCTTTCAAGATTAATAAAATATTTGCAGGTTACTTTTTGTCACATCAACTAGTAATGACTGTCCACTTAGATTTAACCTACCAGCATAAGAGTGATAATCTAAAGTTTCAGCGAAATCATGGTTGTGATGTCCATACATCACCTTCAACACCCATTTGTCCTCGTCAGAACATGGTTTGCCCTCTAACCTAAACGGTCACTCACATTTTTGAGTTTTATACACTAGCTTCCGCATCGGGTTTGTATTTCCAATATTTTTCACTTTTTTTACATGCAAGTAAGATCAACGTCTTTATTCCTTGTACACTATTAGCTATATATGTCAGATCTTGCTATAACCACGACAAATCCTAAATCATAAGCGATGTCTCTCACCAATTGAATTAAGTGATCGCAAGAAGAAAATATTTCATCTGTGGTAAAATTATTTGTGAAATATCCATCTCCAACTTCTTTTATGAAAAAAAAAATCTAATATAAAACTATAATGAACTTGAGAATCCATGTCATCACTATATTCTTTTATTTTACACAATATTCACTTGTAATATAATATTCACTTTCAATAACATAATTCATTATTAATTAAAATAATATAAATAAATTAATAAAATTTATCAATAGAATTATTAAATTATTAAACAAATAAAATTTAAATTAATAAAAAAATATCTAGATAATTATTAAATTAATAAACAAACATTTTAAATAATGGAATCTACACAAATAAAAAACTAACATTATATTAAATTAATCAACTAACATTATAAAAACTGTCATGTCAAATATAATTATGGTCAATATTTTAATTTATTATTTTTATTTTATTTTATTTCATTTCATTTCAGTGTGGTAGTGTATTTAAAAGGACACAAAGTGATTAAATATTTAAAAGTGTTATTTATTTAAGTATGAGAGTATAAAAATGCTTTCTACATAAACCATCACATCTCCTCAATTTGCACTTTTTACGTTTTATCTAGTTTGGCTTGACGTAGAATGCTTCCAATAAATTAAATGACGGAAATAATTTGAATATTTCATCCAAATTTTGGGTCAATGTACATACTAAAACAAAATTCGTAACTGCAAGAGCAAACAAAATAAAAATGAAGTGTACCACTCTAACCATAAAAGAGAAAATTTAAGAAACGAACTGATTATTATGATGGAAAAACTTAAACAAAGACATGTATGTTTTCTTTTATCTCATTTTCTTTCGTATTTTCCTTCTTGCGTCTCCTTATTTCTATTATCGTTTATCATTTTTGTTTATCTTTTACTTTTTAATTTATCTCTTTTTCAAACCCGTTCATCTAAAATACGGTGGGCGGTTTTGTTTATCCGGTTTAAAATTAGAAAAAAAGAGAGAATAAAAGTGAGATAAAAAAGAAGGCGAGTTTATAATAATAAGTCCTTTTTATGGAACGGGATTACTCGTTCTTCTCATTTATTTACTTATTCAACTTTTCAATTTGACCTTTGTTTAACCCTTTATTCTTACAAAAAGGTACCAACTTCAAAGCAGAATACTATATACATATATTTATTTAGCCTTCTTTATTTTCTTATATATATATATATATATATATATATATATATATATATATATATATTGAATTTAATCACTTATTTAATTTTAAAAAATTCCCATTATTTATGGAAATATTAAATGTAAAGATGACGAAGTAATACGAATATAAATATTCGCTTTTCTAATATTCTATAAATTAAGAATACTTTTGTTTAAAAATAATGATACATTTTAAAAGTAATTTAACAAAAATAATTGAAGAGCGTGTAGGTAAAAATCTAATATTCGTGCATATATTAACATTACCAGTATTTTTTTTAACAAATAAATTAACAATATACCATTTTTAAACAAATGACATCAACATCATTATGTCAACAAGTAATGCAAGTGACAAATGCACTAGTTATATGAAATTCCCACTGACGTCGGTGCGGGATTGCCAATTGCTTCTAGATTTATCAAAACTCAATTTTCCTAATTTGACTGTCACCTATTTTAATTTATATACGCAGTTATATAATTTGATAACATTCTTTTACTTGCATTCAATCACCTAAATTAATTTTCTGTAATTTTAAAAATAAGCAGCAGTCCAATCTATGTTGGTTAATAATATAATACTGTAACATACAAACAGAACAGGCTTCATAAATTGTTTGACCTCGGCACACTCCTTTAAACATAAGTTCTTAGAGAAACTATAATTCAGTGTGATCTTAGACCGAACATAACAGAAGCCATGCCTGAACTCTCATACAAGTTATACTGAATATACCCACATAAACCAACACTCACTGAATGCGACCGAATATAACAACATCTAAATCTTTGCAGCAGTGAAGGTTTTAAGGAACAATAACCATCGAGATAGTTTTCTGTTAACCTTCTTCTCTTTAATGGTGTCCAAACTAGGCTTCCAACCTTTTCCCGACAACTGCCTACTCAAATACTCCGGTCTCCCTTCTAACATTTCTGGCAAAAACTCACAAAACCCGTACTTCTCCTGGGCGTTCTCCGTCTCTTCTTTTTCCTGCAACACTGCAACCCCTCTCTCGGAGTTGAACAACCCTGCAAGCCAAGGAAGAAACCCTGAAGAAGAAACAAAATACTTGGGATGCAGAGCAGAGTTAACGATGAAGATAATGCGGCGACTATCCTCGCTGCTCAACCCCACAGGCTTCCCTTGCTTCACCGGAACCATCACGTAGGTTTTCTTCATCTCCAGCTTCTGGTCTGCCGGCAGCGGCGTTGGCCTTTTCTGCTTGACGGCGGAGTGAAAATCAAGCACAACCTGTTGTGGGTGGTCCATCATGAGCTCTGCCACGGTTAACGGTTGGTGAAACTCTTGAACGGAACCATCCCAGTAGACGATTTTGGCGGTGGCTATTTGGTTTCCCATGAGAGAATACGTAATTGGATGTAAAGGTCGGAGAAGAGGGAATGTGAATTGACTTATATTGAGGATTACGTTAGAGTGTTTGTTAAACCGCTCCATCTTGTGAAGGATATAATGGTGGACTTGGTAGTTAGGTTTTGCTGAGTCCTTGGGCTTGTGAGAGAGTTTTACAAGTACATTTTTTGACTTCTGTCCCCCACCTTTATTAATTAATCTCATAAGAAAAATAAGACGGTTGATGAAAATGTTCAGTAATGGTGGTCATCACCAATCATATTCCTCTTAATTTTGCCTTCTCTCTTTACCAAACAGGAAAATCAATTCAAGGAACCGTTCAACTGCAATTCAGTGAAATAATTTCATTGGGTTATATTATATAGGCTTAATACCCTATTTTGTCCCCAGTTTCGCTCGAAAATGTCAAATTAGTCCATCCTTTAAAAAATGCATCAATTACGTCCTCACTTAATAAAATTTGCATGAATGAAATCACTTCCGTTAAATCCGTACAAACGGCGTTAATTATTTTTCTCTCTCTTCTACTAGAATAATTAACGCCGTTTGTACGGATTTAACGGAAGGGATATAATTGATGAAAATTTTATTAAGTAAGGAAGTAATTGACACATTTTTTAAAGGATGGACTAATTTGACATTTTCGAACTAAATTGGGGATAAAATAGGGTATTAAGCCTATTATATATTATAGTTTGTGTGTGTGTGGTACTTGACGTTGTATATATATAATTTTATTGGCCTCTCAAATTTGATTCAACCAATTCTGGGTTGCTTGTCGGTGCTATTTTTCATAATTTTAACCTCCTGACCTTTTCTTTTCGGTGTCAGCAGTAGCAATTCTAATGACACATTTTTTTTTTTATATAATCAAATTGTTTATAAGTAAATATTCTTAATATATATAAACTTATTACAATGAAGATATATTGAATTTCATATAAATTTCTTAAAAGAAAAAGTGAAAACAACAGATGATGAAAAGGAGAAAGATTAAAAAAAAAGTAAATTGTAAAATTTTATTATAAATAGATGGAGAAGAAAAGGTACGTACGTGCATTGAAGCTAGGATACCCTACGTTACTGGGTATCATTAATAATTTGACGTACCTTAATACGGACTACGTGAACGTGACGAATTAATTTGATCATACTGACTTCATGAAGGTAGCATGATATTTGTATGCAAAATTCACTCCAAAAGTTTTCATCAGATTTATGCTGTAATGTAGTAAGATTAAACAGGGTGTAAATAAATTATTGGGCTCGCGATCGCAGCATATTTATTGTTCCATTAATCTTTAAATTATTTATATTTAAAATAAAATATACTTATATATAGCATAAAACTTGCCAGGACTGTAAAATCATCGATAATTTAAAATGTCTCTTTATATACTATCTTAATATCATTTTTCAAATAGAAATCAAATAGTAAAAAATTCACTTTTTTTATGCGCAAAGTTATTTGTTCTCCTTTTCATTTTTTATTTATTAAAAAATTCAGATTATAATATGTTTTCCGTTCCCAAATTATTATTAAAAATGGTGTTTAATTTTTATATTATTATAAACTATATTTAGTCTTGTTTTATGAAATGAATATAAAATATTATTTCCAACCAATGATATATCAGTTGTATTTTTGTTTACATAAAACTCTCTTGGTCACAGGAGAAACACTTAACATATTCTTTGTTGGAAAAAATGTTTTACCTTAATGGAGATGGTGGTAATGGAGATGTTGGAAACAAAGATAAAGAAGATGAACACGAATGATAAAAATGAAAATCTACAAGAACAGTGACCAAAATTGTAACAAATATCATCACTGAATTAACCATTATTCTCTTCGCAATGTTCTTAAACTATTATAAATATATTTTGTCACATTTTTTTTTATATAAACAACCTATTTATATTTTTCCACCATTTTCTTGGAGTTAAATCAAACTAAATAAAAGAAAATTACATAATTTGTAATAACAACTTAAAAATTGTTCACATTTTTAGTTATGTCTTCTAAACTCATATTTTGTAGTAGTTATAATATGTATCAACTTCTTTATGGAAGTTTAATCCATCTTTTGATTATTTTTTTCTAACAAACATATTTTTCGATATATCTTTTTTTTTTTCGATCACTTTTTAATTTCACTCTTAAACTGGCTTTATTTCGATTTATTACGTAATCATAATTTTCTTAATCTTATCATCCATCTTTTCATATCTTCTCATATACTTATCTCAATCTTTTTAATATATTTACTTCGGCATCCTATTCGATTTCTCGATCTCATTAACTATAATAAATAATTATATATAGTTATTTATAGATATGTATATATGGTTATATACGTATGTATGGAAAATCTTCATAATTTATAATAAAATTGATAAAAGCATTTTATTTTATTTTATGTTGTCGTTGGTACGTGGCTAGTTATTTACCTTGAGAATTAAATTCCTGAATTTAATATTTTCGTAAACTTGTTTTCTATAATCTGTTCTAAAACAAAATAAATATTTTTTGCATGTTTATTTTATATATCCTTTCCAATAAAACGGTTAGGAGTCCCACAGGTCTTAAAGTCCTAACAAAAATTAATGGGAACGCTGGAAGCAGTGAAAAAAAGGTGTATTTTTTTGGAACCTTAAGAAGTTTCTTATTATGTTTACTCTGACTCAAATAGTTTAACATAAGTTGTCGGTGGTGTGTCCTTTACCCCACCATTTCAGAGTAGTTCTCTACTTCATATATACCGCAGTTCATAACTGCAATTATATATGTTCAAGTACCAACAATTTTTCTGCTAGCCTAATGTTTGTTTCAAGAATCTCTATGCCCTTGGCAGAAAGGGTAGGTGAAAGATTTGCCCAGGTCTCTCCTTAACTTTAACAATAATACACTGACACACTTTTAACATAAATAAAATAGTATTAAAAAGGATAAATTTTTGTATTTTTTTCAAAAAAAATAAACAATAAATGTAAAAAGTTTATGTGTATTAAAATATATATATTTTTATTTTAAAAGAGTTTAATGCGAACAAACTAATCAAAATACTTTATTTATTTGGTTAGATTATATAATTTTTCTCTAAATTTATCTACATGGATGACGGAGATGAAAACCTTATGTTGAATATCAATATAATGAAATGACAAGTGATTACAATTTTTTTATTTTATCAAATTAGATGTAAAATTATAATCTTTTAAAAAGTATTGAATTGATAAATTTAAAATTTTTAATATTTTAAAAGTGTGGAAATTATTTAGAATCCAAATATGAATCTGAGTACGAAAATAAAAAAAGTTGTATATTATATAAAGAAGAAGATTTATAAATAAATGTACTGTACATATATCTTTGTAAACTGTTTAAGGGATTACAAATATTAATTGTGTAACTATGAATAGAGAAAAGTATAATTTCTTAAAAAATTCTTGCGTTAGTTGATTGGTAAATATATAAATATTATAATATAGGCAATTTTTTTTGGGTGGAATAGTTTCGGCCCATTCCTACCCATTCTGAAACTATTAGAACAGAGAGTTACTTCCTCCACTACCACACACTGTTCCCAACACCTTCTCATTCCTCTTTTGTCTTTTAAATAATATTTAAACGGATGTAAATATACGTTGAATTTCGGACGTCAACATCCGTGCACGGATATTGACATCCGTTGAAGAATAAACGAATGTCGATATTCATATTTAAGCTTTCTGTTTTTCCCCCTTTGTTGCACAGGTACACATGGCAAACTTAATCTGACAGACTCTTGACATTGAGGTTTGCAGCTTTTTAAGGTGGCTGGTACAACCTTATTCTGATGGAGAAATAAAGCCAACAAGTTAACTGTTCTTGCTACTTCTCAATTCGGTCAATAATGCTGCAACTTTCTCCTTTTCTTTTTAAATTGTAACATATAAAGCTTTAACTTTCAAGACATTGCAATGTCTTCTTTCATATGGACAACTTCATTCATGCAAACATACATCCTGGAAATATCCTTCTTCGAGTGGCTTAGAGCAAGTTGCGAAAATGGTTCTTCAAATCAAAAGCCTCATGTAATTTTTCTTAATGTGTATATGACTGTCGAACTCTATGTAGGGAAGAGGTGTAAGGAGTACTTGGTAAAAGTTAAATTAATGCAAGGTATTTTTGGAATTAAAAAAATAGTGAGAATATGTAAGAAGTACTTGGGGTGGTGAAGGGAACAACTCTCATTAGAATTTCTTGAGTTAAGAGTGGGGTTAGATTGGTGACTTAAGCTCTGCACACCAATCTAAGATAAAAGCATAATTAATTATTCATGATTTTACTAAAATATTACAAAATAGAAACATTGATATACTCCTAAGTAATGTGTTTGAGATATCATAAAATAGGAAGTTGGTTACCCTTGTAAAAAAGTAGATACACGATGTGATGATGCATATTATCCTATTCCTTAGGTTTGCAACCTAACATGAATGTGCTATAACTTTAAATCTCACTACCAATTGAAGCAACACAAGAATGACAACAATAATTGCAAAGTGAGGATCATAATAATAATAATAATAGCATAAGAACATGTCACATACCCACACTACCTTTTCAGTTGTGTTAATATTAATGCAATCATTTCACTAATAATACAAAAATATTACTCTTTCTTCCTTCTTTTCCAATTCTTATATTTGTTTGAATAAGGTTATAAGAAGTGAGGAATAAAAAAAGGAAATATAATTACAGTACAAAATGAGTCTTTTTACGGGTGAAATTTAGATCCAAGTGCAGAAAAGTACCAAACACAGAAATAGAAAGAGTGTGATGATATTTACATTTTAAACTTTCTTTATAATGTGATAAAGAAATTTGTAAATAAAGTTGTTACATAATTGACTGTCACAAATATTAATAAAATATTTATAATATAATTAACTATGTTTAAATATAATCAATTATATATTTATTACATTGCAACACTGGTAAGTAAAGAAAAACACTACACACACACATATTCAGAAAAATGAGACAAACACTTATTTTCCACTGTCACTGTATCCCTTGAGAGGAAGAAAAGAGAAATTTTTTGTTCCAAAACACAATTTTATGTATCGAAAAACTTGTTCAGAAAATTTTATTCAAAAAATCATGTTTTGAAACATATCTCATATGAAAAAAACCCTCAACCTTTTCTGATTGGAATAGGGCTTATGTATATATATATGGGCTTTAAGCCTTAAAACTTTGGGCCACTAAAGTGATTTCCGGACTGGATCTCCACACTCTAATCCAATACTAGTATTCGGTTCCAGTATAACCAAGTGGAGACTTTTCTTTTTGCAAGAGGAGTTTTTGTAACACTATTTGTAGATGAAATCCAACAGTTATAAATTTTAATTAATTTGAACAAAAAGCCTTGTCAGCATTGCTCCACGTTTTAATTATGAACTTGGCATCATTGAGCGTTGGTTCAGTGGTACAAACTACCCATGTCAGTGTAAAGTTATAAAAGAAAAAAAATGGAAAAACAATACACCGAACACAAGTGTGTGTGGAAGACAAAATTTGAAGAAAATTGCTGGCCAAATTGATTATTCGAAGATAGTATCCAAAACAGGATTCCATCGTACTTGATTCCCCAACCTCGGACACGCAGGTGAAACGGTAACCTCGTTTTCCGCATCCCTTTCAGTTGACCTCGAAACGAGTGAGGGTGAAACCTTAGCCTTGTTGGTTCCCCTTGTCCTCTTTTTGTGGCTACTCTGTGCCTCTGCAATGGCCATCTCAAACTTTGAAGCCTTGGAATGGACCCTACTAACCGGCAACAGCAGGTAAACCTTCCCCGCTACGAGCTCCTCTTCGGGCAACAAAGCAGAAACCCGTCCCGTTCTACGGAGTTCGTCCAACGGAGTGACGACGTGGCCGAATTCTTCTATCATTAGCTCCCCCGATTTCACTGGTAGCTTGATCTCCCGAGTGTTTCCACCACTCTCTAACAGAACTGCAGTTTTCGTAGGTTTTTTTCTCTTCAAAATGTTCCCAATACTTACACCGTTAGAGATACAAGAAGAAGAAGNAATAAAAGAAAATTACATAATTTGTAATAACAACTTAAAAATTGTTCACATTTTTAGTTATGTCTTCTAAACTCATATTTTGTAGTAGTTATAATATGTATCAACTTCTTTATGGAAGTTTAATCCATCTTTTGATTATTTTTTTCTAACAAACATATTTTTCGATATATCTTTTTTTTTTTCGATCACTTTTTAATTTCACTCTTAAACTGGCTTTATTTCGATTTATTACGTAATCATAATTTTCTTAATCTTATCATCCATCTTTTCATATCTTCTCATATACTTATCTCAATCTTTTTAATATATTTACTTCGGCATCCTATTCGATTTCTCGATCTCATTAACTATAATAAATAATTATATATAGTTATTTATAGATATGTATATATGGTTATATACGTATGTATGGAAAATCTTCATAATTTATAATAAAATTGATAAAAGCATTTTATTTTATTTTATGTTGTCGTTGGTACGTGGCTAGTTATTTACCTTGAGAATTAAATTCCTGAATTTAATATTTTCGTAAACTTGTTTTCTATAATCTGTTCTAAAACAAAATAAATATTTTTTGCATGTTTATTTTATATATCCTTTCCAATAAAACGGTTAGGAGTCCCACAGGTCTTAAAGTCCTAACAAAAATTAATGGGAACGCTGGAAGCAGTGAAAAAAAGGTGTATTTTTTTGGAACCTTAAGAAGTTTCTTATTATGTTTACTCTGACTCAAATAGTTTAACATAAGTTGTCGGTGGTGTGTCCTTTACCCCACCATTTCAGAGTAGTTCTCTACTTCATATATACCGCAGTTCATAACTGCAATTATATATGTTCAAGTACCAACAATTTTTCTGCTAGCCTAATGTTTGTTTCAAGAATCTCTATGCCCTTGGCAGAAAGGGTAGGTGAAAGATTTGCCCAGGTCTCTCCTTAACTTTAACAATAATACACTGACACACTTTTAACATAAATAAAATAGTATTAAAAAGGATAAATTTTTGTATTTTTTTCAAAAAAAATAAACAATAAATGTAAAAAGTTTATGTGTATTAAAATATATATATTTTTATTTTAAAAGAGTTTAATGCGAACAAACTAATCAAAATACTTTATTTATTTGGTTAGATTATATAATTTTTCTCTAAATTTATCTACATGGATGACGGAGATGAAAACCTTATGTTGAATATCAATATAATGAAATGACAAGTGATTACAATTTTTTTATTTTATCAAATTAGATGTAAAATTATAATCTTTTAAAAAGTATTGAATTGATAAATTTAAAATTTTTAATATTTTAAAAGTGTGGAAATTATTTAGAATCCAAATATGAATCTGAGTACGAAAATAAAAAAAGTTGTATATTATATAAAGAAGAAGATTTATAAATAAATGTACTGTACATATATCTTTGTAAACTGTTTAAGGGATTACAAATATTAATTGTGTAACTATGAATAGAGAAAAGTATAATTTCTTAAAAAATTCTTGCGTTAGTTGATTGGTAAATATATAAATATTATAATATAGGCAATTTTTTTTGGGTGGAATAGTTTCGGCCCATTCCTACCCATTCTAAAACTATTAGAACAGAGAGTTACTTCCTCCACTACCACACACTGTTCCCAACACCTTCTCATTCCTCTTTTGTCTTTTAAATAATATTTAAACGGATGTAAATATACGTTGAATTTCGGACGTCAACATCCGTGCACGGATATTGACATCCGTTGAAGAATAAACGAATGTCGATATTCATATTTAAGCTTTCTGTTTTTCCCCCTTTGTTGCACAGGTACACATGGCAAACTTAATCTGACAGACTCTTGACATTGAGGTTTGCAGCTTTTTAAGGTGGCTGGTACAACCTTATTCTGATGGAGAAATAAAGCCAACAAGTTAACTGTTCTTGCTACTTCTCAATTCGGTCAATAATGCTGCAACTTTCTCCTTTTCTTTTTAAATTGTAACATATAAAGCTTTAACTTTCAAGACATTGCAATGTCTTCTTTCATATGGACAACTTCATTCATGCAAACATACATCCTGGAAATATCCTTCTTCGAGTGGCTTAGAGCAAGTTGCGAAAATGGTTCTTCAAATCAAAAGCCTCATGTAATTTTTCTTAATGTGTATATGACTGTCGAACTCTATGTAGGGAAGAGGTGTAAGGAGTACTTGGTAAAAGTTAAATTAATGCAAGGTATTTTTGGAATTAAAAAAATAGTGAGAATATGTAAGAAGTACTTGGGGTGGTGAAGGGAACAACTCTCATTAGAATTTCTTGAGTTAAGAGTGGGGTTAGATTGGTGACTTAAGCTCTGCACACCAATCTAAGATAAAAGCATAATTAATTATTCATGATTTTACTAAAATATTACAAAATAGAAACATTGATATACTCCTAAGTAATGTGTTTGAGATATCATAAAATAGGAAGTTGGTTACCCTTGTAAAAAAGTAGATACACGATGTGATGATGCATATTATCCTATTCCTTAGGTTTGCAACCTAACATGAATGTGCTATAACTTTAAATCTCACTACCAATTGAAGCAACACAAGAATGACAACAATAATTGCAAAGTGAGGATCATAATAATAATAATAATAGCATAAGAACATGTCACATACCCACACTACCTTTTCAGTTGTGTTAATATTAATGCAATCATTTCACTAATAATACAAAAATATTACTCTTTCTTCCTTCTTTTCCAATTCTTATATTTGTTTGAATAAGGTTATAAGAAGTGAGGAATAAAAAAAGGAAATATAATTACAGTACAAAATGAGTCTTTTTACGGGTGAAATTTAGATCCAAGTGCAGAAAAGTACCAAACACAGAAATAGAAAGAGTGTGATGATATTTACATTTTAAACTTTCTTTATAATGTGATAAAGAAATTTGTAAATAAAGTTGTTACATAATTGACTGTCACAAATATTAATAAAATATTTATAATATAATTAACTATGTTTAAATATAATCAATTATATATTTATTACATTGCAACACTGGTAAGTAAAGAAAAACACTACACACACACATATTCAGAAAAATGAGACAAACACTTATTTTCCACTGTCACTGTATCCCTTGAGAGGAAGAAAAGAGAAAATTTTTGTTCCAAAACACAATTTTATGTATAGAAAAACTTGTTCAGAAAATTTTATTCAAAAAATCATGTTTTGAAACATATCTCATATGAAAAAAACCCTCAACCTTTTCTGATTGGAATAGGGCTTATATATATATATATGGGCTTTAAGCCTTAAAACTTTGGGCCACTAAAGTGATTTCCGGACTGGATCTCCACACTCTAATCCAATACTAGTATTCGGTTCCAGTATAACCAAGTGGAGACTTTTCTTTTTGCAAGAGGAGTTTTTGTAACACTATTTGTAGATGAAATCCAACAGTTATAAATTTTAATTAATTTGAACAAAAAGCCTTGTCAGCATTGCTCCACGTTTTAATTATGAACTTGGCATCATTGAGCGTTGGTTCAGTGGTACAAACTACCCATGTCAGTGTAAAGTTATAAAAGAAAAAAAATGGAAAAACAATACACCGAACACAAGTGTGTGTGGAAGACAAAATTTGAAGAAAATTGCTGGCCAAATTGATTATTCGAAGATAGTATCCAAAACAGGATTCCATCGTACTTGATTCCCCAACCTCGGACACGCAGGTGAAACGGTAACCTCGTTTTCCGCATCCCTTTCAGTTGACCTCGAAACGAGTGAGGGTGAAACCTTAGCCTTGTTGGTTCCCCTTGTCCTCTTTTTGTGGCTACTCTGTGCCTCTGCAATGGCCATCTCAAACTTTGAAGCCTTGGAATGGACCCTACTAACCGGCAACAGCAGGTAAACCTTCCCCGCTACGAGCTCCTCTTCGGGCAACAAAGCAGAAACCCGTCCCGTTCTACGGAGTTCGTCCAACGGAGTGACGACGTGGCCGAATTCTTCTATCATTAGCTCCCCCGATTTCACTGGTAGCTTGATCTCCCGAGTGTTTCCACCACTCTCTAACAGAACTGCAGTTTTCGTAGGTTTTTTTCTCTTCAAAATGTTCCCAATACTTACACCGTTAGAGATACAAGAAGAAGAAGCAGCGTTCCCCATAGACTAACGTTAAAAAGGAATAGAAAAAAGAGGGTTGATTTTGTGTAGTGTGTATGTTGTGTGGTGGAAGATGGGAGTGAAGCATATATAGGGTTTAGGTAAGGGAGAATGTTTAGAAATCTGTGGACTTGCGTTTGAGAGTGTAAAGGTATGGTTGTGGGAGTGACGCGAATTTTGGCTTCTATGGAGAACTGGTGTCCAAAACGCGGAATTTCTTTCTCTCTTTTATTACTATTTCTTTCTCGTTGACTCTTTACTTTTCTCCTTTCTTTCAACCTTTACAGTTCAATAATCATCGTGCTTTTGTAACTCCAAAAAAGTTAGTTGTCAGCAACTATAAAAAGTTACCGAAATATAGAAAAAAACAGCAGGCCAACCAGTTTGCTAGAGATAAAAGAAAAGACATTTTGAAGGATACGAAATTTTGGGTGTAAGAATGGAGGATGATGCAAAAGGTTAATGTAATGATGTGGCCTTTTGACATGGTCAGTGCGCTTTACAGTATGGAGTGGCCTTTGCTCTAACTGCCAGTTGTAGGAATCACCAGTCAATTATTAATATCTACGAAAGAAAATAGTTGCATCCTATTTTGTTGGACTAATATTATCTGGTTCCAAAGCTGTTTATATCTTTTCCAAAAGTTATTAAGATATGAAACAAATTCCTGAAACTGTTAGTTATATCAATGACTAGGTGTTACAAGTTGAATATTTCTTAGAGCGACATTAATTTTAATTTAAGACTCATAATAATTATTTTAATTGTAAAGATTCATTTCACATTTTACATGTCATGATAATCAAGAACAAATATTTCATTAAATATAGTCAACCAAACTTTTATGATGAAAAATTGTTACCAATAGATGCTAAATTTTGTATACTAATAATATAGGTATCTGAAAAGACTATAATGACCACTTCTGTCAAATTTAAGAATATAAAATTTCATTTATTCTATTTTAGTATGCAATGAATTTTAATTTATATGAGAAAGAAGAGGTTTGAAATTCAATAAATAGTTTAATAGAAAAAATATTACATATCATTTTTCTAATATATGTATATATATATATGGAAAAATAAATAAACAATAAAAATTATAGTACATATTATAACAAGTGTAAAATAATTGAAACCGAAGACGTCCATTGAATATTAGCATGTCCTATTACGGATATTTTCTCTCACATATATCTGTATATGGAATTTTTTAAAGAATTGTGCTTTTTACATTAAAACATAAATAATTTTATTATCTTTATGAGAAGTTAATTGAAAAGTAAAAATGATACCGCATAATATATATATATATATATATATATATATATATATATATAATTCTGTAAAAATAATATTAGAAAACAATTATGTAGCTATTATTTTTAAAAGATTTTTTTTTAATTATTTTGAAATATATTTTTTTTCAATTATTTATTTCAATTATTCTGTAAAAATGGTTTTTAGGTTTAAATATGTTTTTTATCTTATATTTCAACATGGTGTCACGTAACAATGTTACGTGTTACTATCAACCTCAAATGTAATTGTATCAACCTCAAATGTAATTGTCTTATATTCAATTCAATCCATGTATTTGTTATTTTGATTTAATTTAGTCTCAAATTTTCTCAAAATTGAGTAATGTTGTCACTCTTCAAATTAACACCAAATTTAATTTGTAGGTTTAATTATTCATTTGGTCTTTGTTTTGGTCAAAAAATGTCAAGTTAGTCTTTCAATTTTGTTGTCCTAATTTATGAAAAGTTGATATAATTAGCTCATTTCTTGTTATACTATATGAAAAGTGTTAAGGACAATGTCACATGTCAATTTATAGTTTTTTTAAAATATTAATTTTTCTTAAAAAATTGAGATTTTTTTTTTCACGTATCATATCAAAGTTGTGTCTCGTGGTACTCTTAGTGTGACGTGACAATAATAGTGTGATATGATAGTGCCACATGGCAAAATATCAATTTGATCCATATACTTGTTTTTTTATTCAAATTACTCCCATTTTTTTTTATTAAAATAGAGTAATGTTGTCTCTTTCCAAATTAGAACCAATTTTTTTTCTTTTTATATAAATCTTATGTGGCTAATTTTATTAAAATCGATATTTTTATTAAATATTTTTGAAAATATTTTTAACCAAACTTTAACTATATTAATGGATTTCATTTAAATAAATTACTTTTAATTTTTTTATTAAGGTTAATTTAGTCATTTCATTCTAGTTTTGGTTAAAATAGTTTAAATATATAAAAAATATTAAATTTATTAGTGTAAAAAATTTTAGGCATATCAATATTTATATATATTATTAATTAAAAAAAATTATATAAATAAAAGTAGTTGTGTCGTTTAATCCACGTGATTAGACACGAAGGTAAGAGTGACAATCAAAAGGAGTGATTTTTCAGTCCTACAACCCCAAACAGATGTTGTTGAAGGCAAAATAGTAGATGACTAATCTTGAACAATGTTATTTCTTTTTGTTTGTTTTTGTCTTATGTTGTATTTTCATTTATTTAGTATGTTTCGAAAAATGCTAATCTTATATACACTACTTTTCATGAATATGTGATATTGACCTTTCTTTGAACTTTGCAATATATACCACTTTGTATGAATACGTGATATTTAACTTCGAAATGCATCTTTACATTTATCTAACAATATAAACTTCTCATTTTCTTTAAACATTAGTAGTACGGGAAACCTTTATTTAATGTAACAGGTAAGAATTTGAAAATTATCGTTGGACTTCCTTTATTGAACATAAACTTCTCATTTGTAATATGGCAAAATATTTGTTTGGATTTGCCTCAACTTCTCGTTCATTCAGCATAAATTTTAAGAACAAATCTGCCTTAACGCTAAAGACACACTTCTCTGGGTTCAACTTTAAACCAAACTGGTTTACTGTTGCAAAAAACTCTTATAAGTCTATTATATGGTCCTCAACTTTTCCTAACTTGACTACCATATCGTCTGCATATGTTTATATGTTTCTTCTAAGCATATCTTTTAAAATATAGTCCATCAAACATTGATATATGACCCTTCCATTCTTTAAATCGAATGACATTACTTGAAAACAATAGTTTTTGGTGTCGGCAATGAACGATGTTTTCTCCTCATCTGCTAGGTGCATCTTGATCTGGTTATATCCCGAATAGACATCCATAATGTGTTTCTCGACACCCCATCCCCTAGGGAATCTATATTTGGAAGAGAATACTGATCTTTGGGGGCATGTCTTGTTAATATTAATAAAGTCAACACACATCTCCATTTTTTTGCTACTTTTTTCTCCCATCACCACATTAGCTAGCCACTTAAGATATTGTATCTTCTGAATATGGTCGACCTCTAGATCTATAAGTTAGGCTACCTCTTGTAAGATCGTGTTCCACTTCTCTTCACTTGAACATTTTTTTCATCTACACAACTAGCTCTGCCTTTTAATCAATTACCAAAACATTATATCGGAATTGATTCCCTTCATGTCTTCATGTAACCAGAAAAAAACCTCTTCATTCTTTCGAAGACGCCATAAGTGATTCCTTTAGGTTTTCCTTTGACCACCAATTATTAGGTTTATAAAACACATAATAACAACCAATTATAAAAAACACCTTATTTTATTCAAAAGAGAACAATATTCATGCAAGAGGCAACATCATGTGATAGATTTTATTATAATGTCTATGATATATTACTCAATGCTAGATAATTGTGTTTACCAATATATCTTATTTCAAGTTATTTGTATTTCTTAAATAAAATATAAAATACTCGTAAAAGACCATTAAACCTGTCTCATATAATCAAGTATACAATTAACAATTAATATCAAGAATGAATATAAAAAAAAATCACAAAATTCTAATTGAAATAACTTTTTCAAGAGAAAAATCAAACTAATGTAATAATTGATAAAACCATCAAAATAATCAATGAAATAAAACTAGAAACTCATGACCCATACTAAAACATAAGAACTAATCACGAAGGAGAGACATATAAATTTTGAGTTTTCTAACTTAATAGGTTTTCACATATTTAGACAGAAAAATAAGCAACTCTTAAAAGGAAAATAATATAATAATTATATAAATTTTAAATTGTAAAAGAGTAAACTATGACTTACTTATAAGAGTACGACGTGAGTTAATTATGAGTGATGTGATGTCATTACACTTAAATTAACAATTTTATTTACAAAACTTCTGACTGTAGATGTTCTACAAAGGTCTTTTTCAGTAACATAGATGTAAAGAGTCGGAATCAGTAAAATGAAATGAAAGTTCGAAACAATAGCCCAAAGACAACTGGACCAACGGAATTTCGACATTAGCCCCCATACACAAACGGGAATAGGCTAATGTTAATCGGTGACAAGAGAAAATGCTTTTTATGTTATATTAATTATATCATATTATTATGGACCATTTATCCAAAAATATTCCATCTTATCTACTTTTTTTTTAATCTTATTATATGAATGATATTATCCATAGAAATGCATGAACTTTGAAGCTAAGACATCGGCATTCAACAACTAAGGACACCTTTCTAGTTTGCATTTCTTATCAAAAGAGTTAGACTTACATACTCTTTGGGTGACCCATTGCTTTGCCCTCTATTAGAGCACATTCTTTAGTTAGTTATTTCACAAAAACACTTAGCTTAAACACAACTCGACAGTGACACCATTACCTTCATCTAACGGTACGGATCAAACTTCATTATCAAACCACCACCAAATATCTCCCAACTTCTATATACATAAATCAGACTAACTGTTATAAGGTACAATTCATGAACTGTAAAATTAAAAATTAGCATGGAAGTTTAATTGGAGACCCCATTTAGTGGTATTGGGTGTGTTACTTGTTGTAGGTGGAAATAGGTAATGGGAAAATATTAGGTGCCAAATTAGAAATTTATGTTGGATAGATAAGGTCCTCTTTTCTCAATGGAAGGTGACTGTCCCCACAGGCGCAACTTAGTGCCGACCACTTGCTTGTAGAAAAGCTTACATAGGAAAGTGCAAACTGAATCCCTATTACTTGTGATTTGTGTGTTGTGAATCTTCTAAATGACAAGGATTGCTCATAATTGTTGGATAAGTCCAGAAACATTTTCGAAGGAAACGATAAGAACGAACACGAGAGAGGATAAGCACGTGCGTCAGCTTCCTTGCATACGATACGAAACTAATTAAATAGCGTGCCTTTTTCTTTTCTTCACTCACAGCAGACAAATTTGAAATCAGTTTTGTGAAGGGCGATTGCATTCATACAAAAATTAATAATTATTATAGGATCTCATTTTCATGTCAGACACGTATGTAGGTCTCGTTTACGTATTTCTCCACATATTATTATGAAATACAAGAACATAAATAAATCATTTGATAACATTGTTATCCATTTGATACTATTGATTACCTAAAAAAACCCAAAGATTCTAAGAGAATAAAGAGCTTGGCGTGTAAAGGAGGAGCAGCATGATGCATTATGGTGGGTATGGCGTGGGCTTTTGTTTGTGATCAGCATAACTAAAAAGAGGGACCCATGATTTCAAATTTCAGTTTGTTTTGAACGTTTGTTACCGTTGGTGAAGAATCATAGGTCCCAGATTTAAACCTGGTTTGGTGATGTTAGTGTCATAAATTTTGGTTTGATAGATGCAATAATTTGCAATGGTGCCCCCTTCCCTCCCATCCAGGGATATGCAAATAGAAAGGTACAAAGGATGTTTCATTCTTTGTTTTTGTTTTTGTTTTTTTTAAACCCTTCATTAAATTGAAACCATACCCATACATTTTTTTTTTTTGAAGGGATGGGTGGAATCATCGATATTTTGGTGTATATTTAGTTTTAGTGAAATAGGACGTGCAACCTAACGTTAAAAAATGTTAAAATGCAACCACTTTTTAACCGATAATCGAATCAGTTGATGGGTAAGAATTTTGAGAATTACTCAATATCATGAATTATTAAGTTGGTAATAACAACTAAATCTAGGACAATTTTCCATTTCTAACTCTCTACTTTATTGATTGCAACAACGAAATAGGAAGAAAAGAAAAATGATAAAAAGAACATAACATTCTTGATTGGTGCACATTGGGATTTCAGATTTATTGTCAACGCATGCATATCTGACCAAACACTGGAAGATTGAAGAGATCACCTAATAAATGAAACATAATCTAAAATGTCACTGGGTATATGTAATACTAGATAGGCTTAAATATAAATTTAAATAATTTCTATTGGAGAAAACAAAATGGGGTATCTTCTGATATGATAGCCTCTGTTTCAATCTTAGATATGCTTTCCTTACTAAAGAGTAGAAAAAATATACATTTCTTTCCTCTCTTTTTTCCTCTTTCCCAATTTGCCACAGATTAAGACAATTTTATTTATTTATTGTAAGCAAGGAATCTGATTAAATGCTTGGTTGTTCAACAATTTTTACTACTTCAAACAAACCAACCTAATGGAAATTAGAGAATCTTTTTGTTTGATCCTAAGCTGCAAGCAAGACCCTTTTTTGCCAAGTTTTTAAGGTCAAAGCTAGCCTTCGTGGTTTGGTTCGTTTGAAAATTAGGCCATTAGTTTTTTTCTTCCAGAATTAAAAATAGGGGTAAAATGGGAAATGTCTTTGTTTTTTCTTTCGTATATAAACTCTGAGATTCCTGAGAAGACTGAGAAAGAGAGCGTAGAAAGGAAAACGAAAAAACAGAGTACCCGACAGAATTTGAAAACAAAGGCTGAAATTTGAAGAAACAGAGATCGCTACTGGGTGTGAAATATATGGCAGAGGTTGTTTTGTTAGTCGATGATTTGAAACTGCTTTCTGGGATTCCTCGCTGTAGAATTTGTCATGAAGAGGAGTTTGAAAGCATAGAAACCTTGGAAGCACCTTGTGCTTGTTCTGGAACCGTTAAGGTAAATACAAAATACATAACTTCTTAATCTTAAACACCTTTTCTTTAATAGCTTATTATGCTTCAGGCGAGTTTTTTTTTTTTTTTTTTAATTCTGATTAATAACTGCGTTTTCGTTGCGCAGTTTGCTCATAGAGATTGCATACAAAGATGGTGCAACGAGAAAGGAAATACAACCTGTGAAATATGTCTCCAGGTATGAACTTTGGTCATTCAATTTTCACTTTTTTTATTTTTAGTTTTGCGCTCTGTTCGTAGCGTTAATTTCATGTTGGTTTAGTAAACTATATTGAAAATTGATTTCTTGGTGGCAATCAATTTTTTGTTTAGAAAAAAGAAGGAAGAAAGAGAGTTATCGGAGTGTACCTAATATTTGGTGTCCTTGTTATGGTGATTGGGTGCGCTTCCTTATCTGATTTTGACATAGAAACGATAATAAGTTCCTTTCTTTCTTCCTTTCCCCTTTTTGTTTATTTTCAATCTGCGGTTGCTTTTGTTTTTGTCTTTTGCTTAACTTTGCTCAATATTGAAGTCTCTCCCGATTAGTATACTATTTNTTAATTATGAACTTGGCATCATTGAGCGTTGGTTCAGTGGTACAAACTACCCATGTCAGTGTAAAGTTATAAAAGAAAAAAAATGGAAAAACAATACACCGAACACAAGTGTGTGTGGAAGACAAAATTTGAAGAAAATTGCTGGCCAAATTGATTATTCGAAGATAGTATCCAAAACAGGATTCCATCGTACTTGATTCCCCAACCTCGGACACGCAGGTGAAACGGTAACATCGTTTTCCGCATCCCTTTCAGTTGACCTCGAAACGAGTGAGGGTGAAACCTTAGCCATGTTGGTTCCCCTTGTCCTCTTTTTGTGGCTACTCTGTGCCTCTGCAATGGCCATCTCAAACTTTGAAGCCTTGGAATGGACCCTACTAACCGGCAACAGCAGGTAAACCTTCCCCGCTACGAGCTCCTCTTCGGGCAACAAAGCAGAAACCCGTCCCGTTCTACGGAGTTCGTCCAACGGAGTGACGACGTGGCCGAATTCTTCTATCATTAGCTCCCCCGATTTCACTGGTAGCTTGATCTCCCGAGTGTTTCCACCACTCTCTAACAGAACTGCAGTTTTCGTAGGTTTTTTTCTCTTCAAAATGTTCCCAATACTTACACCGTTAGAGATACAAGAAGAAGAAGAAGCGTTCCCCATAGACTAACGTTAAAAAAGAATAGAAAAAAGAGGGTTGATATTGTGTAGTGTGTATGTTGTGTGGTGGAAGATGGGAGTGAAGCATATATAGGGTTTAGGTAAGGGAGAATGTTTAGAAATCTGTGGACTTGCGTTTGAGAGTGTAAAGGTATGGTTGTGGGAGTGACGCGAATTTTGGCTTCTATGGAGAACTGGTGTCCAAAACGCGGAATTTCTTTCTCTCTTTTATTACTATTTCTTTCTCGTTGACTCTTTACTTTTCTCCTTTCTTTCAACCTTTACAGTTCAATAATCATCGTGCTTTTGTAACTCCAAAAAAGTTAGTTGTCAGCAACTATAAAAAGTTACCGAAATATAGAAAAAAACAGCAGGCCAACCAGTTTGCTAGAGATAAAAGAAAAGACATTTTGAAGGATACGAAATTTTGGGTGTAAGAATGGAGGATGATGCAAAAGGTTAAAGTAATGATGTGGCCTTTTGACATGGTCAGTGCGCTTTACAGTATGGAGTGGCCTTTGCTCTAACTGCCAGTTGTAGGAATCACCAGTCAATTATTAATATCTACGAAAGAAAATAGTTGCATCCTATTTTGTTGGACAAATATTATCTGGATCCAAAGCTGTTTATATCTTTTCCAAAAGTTATTAAGATATGAAACAAATTCCTGAAACTGTTAGATATATCAATGACTAGGTGTTACAAGTTGAATATTTCTTAGAGCGACATTAATTTTAATTTAAGACTCATAATAATTATTTTAATTGTAAAGATTCATTTCACATTTTACATGTCATGATAATCAAGAACAAATATTTCATTAAATATAGTCAACCAAACTTTTATGATGAAAAATTGTTACCAATAGATGCTAAATTTTGTATACTAATAATATAGGTATCTGAAAAGACTATAATGACCACTTCTGTCAAATTTAAGAATATAAAATTTCATTTATTCTATTTTAGTATGCAATGAATTTTAATTTATATGAGAAAGAAGAGGTTTGAAATTCAATAAATAGTTTAATAGAAAANCAAGGAATAAAAACTGTTGTATAGAAAAGCTGTTTTATATGATTAGTGTTATTATTAAAATAATGTACTTTTAAAGGGAGGAAGAAGAAGAGTCAAACGAAAGAACAGAGATAACGGTTGAAGGAGTTGCAGTGGAAAGCGATTACTCGGAATGCAGTTCAGGCGGTGACAGAAGCGCGTCTTGCTGTCGATCCCTTGCAATAGCTGTAAGCATTATCTTATTAGCTTTTTTTCTTTTCACGCGTTCTACTTCTGAATGAATATTAGCCAAGGCAACAGAATGGTTGCTTGTGCTGTGAAATAAAAAATAATTAATTAAGAATAAAATAAAGTTGGGTGAAGTTGTGAAAAGCAACGAGTCAGAGTGGACTCAGACTCACTTCTGCTATTGCCAACTGCATTGCCAGTTGCGTTGAATTGGGCAACGCATGGCCGCCCCAAGAGTTGAAATCAACATTATCTCTTTCATGTGGTTGTATTGTACGTGACTCATTTATTTGTTAACGCGTAAACATGCTGAAAAATAACTAGCTATACCTTTTCTCTGCAGTTTACAATTGTCTTGCTAGTAAGACATTTTTTCGCAGTGCTTTCAAATGGAACGCAAGATTACCCATTTACTCTACTTACTGTAAGTACTTTCCTGTTTTAAACATAAAATGGAAAATAAATATTTACGATTTTCCCTTACGGACAGCTAAACTAATGAAGGTTAATATACCATTTTTATGCAGGTCATTATATTAAAGGCTAGCGGAATTATTATACCTATGTACATAGTTATTAAGATTGTTGGAGCCATTCAGAACAGTAGTGAGCAGTATCAGGATTCTGACGATGAAGATGAGATACGTCATAATGTAAATTTAAGACATTCATAGATTATTTGTTTACTGTATAAGAAGGGCATTATGTGATGCTCGTCAAATAACATTTTGCGCCACAATTTGAGATAATGGAATTCAGAACGGAATGCACATTCCCTTACCCCCGCCCAAGACCAGTAAAGTACTAGGTAGGTCCTTTGGGCGTCCGATCCCGGTACATATCATAGAAAAAGTTTAATAACATTTATCATACAGATGTAACTTTTTCAGTTCTTATATTTAAAGAATATTATTTATTTAAATCTTCAGATTTTTCATTTCAATATCATTCAAAACATTAGTTTTATTTTTAATTTAAACTTAAAATATAGTAACTAATTGAAGAAATTAAAATATAAAACTTATTCAACTACGAAATCAAAGGAATAATAATTAAACTGTAAAAAGTATTAATCACTTGATAGAAGGAAAACCCAAGCTCTCATTTGTATTAGATAAAGAAACTCAATTAGATAGATGCTAAATATGTACAATGGAACAGCCTAATTCAATCGAACTCGTATCGACACTTCAACGTGCAAAATATACAAGTGCTACACTGCAACCGAAATTTTAGACAACCAAACACACAAGGCAAAACTCGGCCGTAATTCGGAATGATAATAACGGAGAATACGGCCATAGAAGCATGCTTACTTCTCTAACGAATGAACTATCTCCTTAAATTAGTTTAACATCGCCGCTGCATCGATTCTCGTGCTTTGTCCTGAAGTTCCCTCAGGGAACCAACGCAAAGGGTTTCCTGGCAACTCAAATTGGTGGCCATTTCGGTCAATTTTCGTATGATAGCTGCTATCTCGTCAACCCAGTTTTTATTGGGAGAGTTTGTTTCAGAAGACACCTTTCTACATTTACCATAACTGGCCTCAAATTCTCTAGATTTGGAAGCAGCTTTCTGAAGCACAGAAGTTGGAAGTCCTGAAATAAATTATTTTGCTTCATGATAAAATACGGGCATAGACACATTTGTTAATAATCAACACACTGATTTAACAGTTTTCCAGTACGATCCAAAAGTCATGTATAGACACAACTTATTTTGATATATTTTTTTTATCTGCAAATGTTATGTTAGTGGAAGAGTTAAATCTAGCAGCTCTCTATTCTCCCTTTCAACCTTTCAAACCATCTATATGATTTCCAATATTAGTGGAAAAATTGACCCACAATCTCTCCCACTCTTCCAACTTTACTACTAAACCAACCTTATAGTTCAACGTTAATGTTTTAAAGCTAAAACGTCCACGAACCAACAATTAGTGAACTGCCATATTGGATGAGAACATGCTGACTACCAAAGCAGGTTTGTCTCCTCTAAATTTAGTGGCACTTTAGAGGGGCAAGTGTCACGGATATAACTGTTGATTGGAAATTATTGGTTGAACTCGTTATCAAATCAAATTCCAGGTGTTATAACTACGAGGATAGTATTGTACCCTCTGAAATATACCACTCACTATAGAGGAGCACAATCCATGTTTATTATATTTCAAAACAACAAAAACGTACCAGCTATCCGAGCAACGTTAACACCATAGCTCTTGGGGCAAGCACCAAGCATTAGCCTGTAAAGAAAGGTGACTTTCGTCAAACCTGCAATTCCGATCATCCCCAACTTGGCATGCCATGTGACTGAGACAGAACCTTACAAGCACAAAAAAGCATTTTCAGAGATACGATTTTTCATAAATAAAACTGCCCAAAAGCAGGTGGAACAGTCTCTACACCACAACGTAAACTTTCTTTAGGATACCACATCTAAATATTGTCATGACTTGCAATCATTTATGGCCAATTAAATAAACTAAGAAAATTGAGATTAAAATAGTTTCTTACAAGCATAGGACCATAAATTCAATTTAACTAACACTGAATGATTTTCTGGCTAAAAAAAACTAGAAATAACCTTGGGATCGTTGAGATAATCTACAGCTACTCGATGATAATGGGTCAAAACAATCCACGACCTGCACTTCCGCACAAAATGTCTAATACTGATTTCCCTGTCAATATTTGAAATACAAAAGGGCCGAATCTGGAGAGGCCTCACTAGAAATTCAATGAAGAATAATGAAACCATGCGAGACAAAAACATGTCCAACTAATCCCAAAATAAACACTTACGCAATTGCTTGTCCATCAGAAGTTGCAGTCCCACGCCCAAGCTCATCCAGAGCCACCAATGAGTTACGAGTGGCTGATGACTACACTCACCATCAAAAGTACTTATTTAGAAAGAAACAATGTTTCAAAAGGATCAGATTAATCTGTATACATCTGTAATGTGCATAACAAAATAAAAGGGCATAAAGAGCTTTCTGAATTAAACACAACTAACTAATCTATTGCAGATGAAACATTATAAAAATGAGTGAGCTCTAAAGAAAAGAGAGACAAAAGTTTGCCTCCTCAATGCTGTGTTATTGCTTCTTACATTTTAGAGGAAAAAAAAACTATACCATAAACCACATCATTTGTTCATATTCAAAAGAAAAGTGCTAGCAATCAACTCTTCCAAAAACATACTATTGACTACAATTTATTAAAAAAATTAATAATTTAGACTCGTGAAAAACGTGAACCCAACCAAAAATTGGTTTTTCAATAAATTTTAACCAACAGAAAGAATATGTCGCTAGTACTTATCAAACAAGAAACAATGCTTGAAATAACTTTCAGTCTTATAATCCCTATTTTTATTTATGACCTGCTTCACAATGACCAAAATAAAAAGTAATACAAATTGATAGTCAAAGAGACATCTCACCAGCATCGTTGCAGTTTCTGAAAGCTCAGTTAAAAATGTACTTTGGCCAGCCATTATATTATCTTTGGCCCCCATTCGAACAAAAATCCGATCAACAGGTGACAAATCAAAGCTTTCTGCTGGGACATCAGCTCCTACCTGCATACGAAATTAAAAGTGTACTCCACAGATTAAAATCGGGCTTATTTAAGATGAGTCAAAGGGCAAGGCCAAATTTGGCTTTAAAGATGAATCAAAGAGCAAGACCAACAGTTCTACAACCCCCACCCCCACCCACCACATTTACAAAAAAAATGGCAATTATATATAAAATCTGAAAATGACTTAAAAGTTTCCCTGGCCAAAATTCACAGTCAAAAGCAACCTGAACGAAGAGAGTTGACTGCCCACCATGTTAGGACTGTTAGAATGATAAGCTGGCTTGATCCAACCACCAATGGTTATGTCATTGGGAACAAACGCACCCTTGCCTAGGGTATCACTCCTGAGGACAGGGTGCCCCAAACTTTTAGCATGGAGGTAAGGAGCTCCTTTAGTACATAATGCACCAACGAAAGCTGGTGTGCATGTTGGTCCTTCATAGTAGTCACCAGCTATTGCTAAACTGATCAACAGATCCAGTTCTGCAAAATGTGAATGTAGTTTAAGCCATACAAAAGAAAAGCTTTTGCTTTTCTAATTAAATGCAACATGAGAAATCCATCTTGTGAAAGGACCACAATATGTACCGCAGTTGCAGAGACAACTGCTTTCCACTCCGTGTGTTTTCACAAAAGCGCCCCAATCATCTCTGCAATGTATTTTTCAACAAGGACTCCTTTTCCAATTCAGCTTGGGAGAGTTCTTTTAAATAAATTTTAATATCTGGAGTCCAGTACCTAAAGAAACCCGCATGTATCATGCCGAAAAAATAAGAGAAAAAATCCTCTTTATATTGACAGACGTACCTGCAGTGCAGATAATAATGTCTCAATGACTAACCAACAATTTCATGGGAATTTAAATTTCCTTTACATTTGTTGATGCAACATAAATACAATGTAAAAGATAAATTCGGAAACCAATTGCAGATTATTACAAAGTAAGAGGTGGCCAACAAACAACAAATATTATTATAGAACCAAATAGATATGTCTGCAATTGAGAGGAAATTTTCGGAGGCACTGTTTTTTTGTCTACTTACTTTTCTGGATGAACGCAATTCATAATCCCGAGGAATATTCCTAGACAAACTTTCTGGCACTTCCATTAGGTACACATCCTTTCCAACATTGACGTAAGCAATCTGAAATAAATATATAAGAACATTCAACATGTTAGGTTCTATGTCTGAGCCTACCAAACACACTCTCACACAACAGAATACAAAGATGAATGAAAGATTCTCTTATTTCCAGAACGAATAGGCACGGTACAATGAATCGGTTGGGAGCATAACCTCCCTGGTTGAGAGCATAACCTCTCTCTACAGGCTAAAGACTTGACTTTACACAAAATCACTCAATGTCCCATACAGAGTTACAGGAGCTCTATTTAAAGCAGCTCTGACACGCTCCCCTATTCAACAAAAACCTCTACCCCCTTAACCGCTTGGCCTGTTATCGCTACCGCTCGGTCTCTCCTATTGATACCGTTCAGTAGTCCCCCGTTACCGTTCGGCTTCTATCCTAAACCTATCATCCTATATTCTAACATTACACCCCGCTACCGAACAACCTTGTCGTCAAGGTTGGAACCGGGAAGCTTGATCTCCATGGCTCCTCTTCCTCATCGTGTTTACAATATGAAGGGCGCACACTAGCTATGCCCTCCAATTCAAGTCAAGAGGCTTGGGTGGTGGCAAATCCTCCTCTTCATCGTCTTCTTCATCCTCTGCTAAGAGTATCACCCGCAGGCTCCTTTTTGAACAATGGTGATCGGGCGCGAATGGTCCCCCATATTGAAAACATCGCCCCTCTTCTTTTCTCTTCAAGAACTCAGGATAGGGGTAGTTCCTGACCGTTCAGGCTTCTGTTGTCGCTCCCCCCCCATACCTTCGGTCCCCCGTTACCGTTCGGTCCAGTGTTGGCACTCGTTGCGACTTCTTCTCTTCTCACCGATCCTACACTTTTTGCCCCGCTCGGTCAACTCGGATTAGGGCGACTGATCTCGTTTCTTGTTACTTCCCCGATCACTCGTTCCCAAGATTGTGAATTCTTGGTTGCATTCCAACTTCCCCCTTTTGCTCCACGCATTGTGTCCTCCACGTCTGTCGCAATTCTCATTGGCATTGTCAGCTCTTGCAAATCGTGAATTTGAACCTGCTCCTTCGATATGCCACGGGCTTGCCTCACCAATATCTCAAAACTGTCGGACATAATCTTCCACGGTGTCCTCCTGTCGCAGCGTCGCCAATCGTTCAAACACCATCCCCCGAAATCCACCTCCAAACCGGCCAATCATGGCTGCTTTAAGACCCTCCCAAGAACGATTCTTGGCCTTTTCTTTATAAAACTTGAATTAGTACCCATCGATGCCCTCCATGCTTATGTACGCGAGTTCCGCCTTCTCTTCCTCTGCCACTTTCTGAATATCGAAAAATCGTTCTGCCCGATTGATCCAATTGAGAGGTTCCAGCCTTTCGAACGTGGGTAAGACCACCCTTTTCCTCCAATTACTTTGTACCTCCTGGTGATCGCCACCGTGATCGTGGGTTCGGGTCCCACCATGATCGCCACCCACTCTCTCTCCAATATCCTCCTTGCACCGTTGTTGGTTCCCGTTTACGGAAGCCTGACTTCCACCTGATTGTCCTTCGTTGTTGTGAGCCCGCGCCCCCATCATCCTCATTATTTCTTGCAAGTCTCGGCATACTACGGCAGATTCCGCCTTCATCCCTTCCATCGTAATCTCCAGAGCCTCCAATCGTCCCTCTATGCTTCCTTCCATCTTCGCTTTACACCCAATTTTGATCCGGCAGTTTCTTGATAACGTCTTGATCCTTTCTTGATCTGGCACCCCTCTCTTAAGGATCACCGCAAGTTCTCCATTTGATACGGCGACGCTCTGGATGATCCGATAGTTTCTCAAAACGGCACATCGGACCAAATTGTTAGGTTTTTATGTCTGAAACCTAACCAAACACACTCTCACACAACAGAATACAAAGATGAATGAAATGATTCTCTTATTTCAGAACGAATAGCACTGTCAATGAATGGTGGCAGCTAACCAAACCTCCCGGTTGAGAGCAACCTCTATCTACAGGCTAAGCAAGACCCTGACCTTACACAATCATTCAATGCCCACACCGATTACAGGATCTCTATTAAAGTCACGCTACACGCTCCCCTATTCAACAGAAACCTCTACCCCCTTAACCGCTCAGCCTGTTATCGCTACCGCTCGGTCTCTCTTGTTGATACCGTTCGGTTGTCCCCCGTTATACCGTTCGGCTTCTTATCCTAAACCTATCATCCTATATCCTAACACAACATTTGATTTTATGCAATATAAAAATATTAAAACTCCAATTGTTTCAGGTAAAGTTCTCACTGATGTGTCTCCAAGTAGTTCTCTTTGCTTCTTGAGATGCTTCAACAAAGTGGACTCAATCTCTTTAACCGTCTTACAGGCTGAGGCATACTCTGTGTCGACTCCTTCACGAGGTATTATACAACGCCCTGAGCTATTGGCTTCCACCCCATCAAAAGTTCCTCCGTGAAATATTAAGTTCCATAGAACATAGGAAGACCTGTAGCCTACCTACCGCACTTAATAGCATTCAATACATCAAAACGCAGAACAAAAAAATTTAATGACATATTTGAGACCAGCATACCCGGTGTTAACAGATGATGAAGTTGTCTAGATTGGACATCATTCAAAATGACACCAAGCGAAGAGCATGCTTCTAGCATCTGTTCACAGCCACGGAGAGCTGCAATGAACTCCTGTACTTGCTTCTTAGCTGCATCCTCATATAGAATAACTTTATTAGCATTCCTTCCACTAGCTTCACTGCATTCAAGAAAACCAAGGTGCATATATACTTCATTACATTAGAAGCTGGTGACAATCAGTATGGTCTAAATAAATATCACATGTGGTTGTTGCACAATAGTTTTTACCTAGAGCAAAATATGCGTGCAAGCAATCTCTCCATGTCAGGTAGCTTGGATAATGCTCCACGAAATTCTAGAGCAGATGGTAGGTTAACTCCCTAAATAGCATATCATATATAAATAATAATCAGTATTATGCATCGGTTCTCCATCTGATTATTATCACCTGCTTAACCTAGCCACATATAAAATCTAGTAGATGTAATCATGCCAATCCCACACACAACATCCAACCTCTTCCCATCACTTCAAAGAAGCAACATAAATAGAAAAGCACATTTAAAACGAGCTCAAATACCACCCCCATATATATATTGAACACAGCAAATCAAGTACACTGTTTTGACCTGAGGCCTACATGACAGATGGGTATGCTTCCCAAGAAGAAGAGGTTACTAATTAATTAAACCATAAAAAACAAATCAATATAGCAAGTGTGTT